CACCGATGTCTTGGTCCTCTCGGCTTGCCCTTCAAGGTACCCTGATTCCACGCCATCAATCAAAGCTGAATCAATCGCGAAACCTGAAGAGCGTTGCATGTCTGAAAACCGTAGGCGACCATATATCATAAGCAGAAAACACCCAGCTGCGATTCGGTCCATTGGCCGCGCCAGGAGGCTGAGCACGAGAGCTTCGAGTCGCTTGACTTGCTCCACGGTTAGAGCAGGCCTGCGCTTAACTGCACACCTCGTCGAGTAATGAGCATTTGCAAGCCCTACGATTCTCCCGCTGCTCAGGGCTTCGTCCAACACGATCAAGCCTAGCAGATGTTTGGCGAAGCTGAAAGCGATAAGCAGCGACCTGAACGAAGTCGGGGCCGCATTCGGATTTGCCTTGAAGTAATCGTAGAGCTGGTGCTCTCTCACAGGCAGGCACACTACGAACTGAAGCTTCCAGAAGTGCACGTATCTGAAGATGGGTCCCACGCGTTGGTGCAAGGTAGCTGTGGCTTTGTCTGCAAGACAGTCCTGCACACTTTCCACCAAGCCTCCTGTGGCAAATTTAGGATCGAAGGGCCCCATGGCTTGCTTGGCTACACCCCAGGCGTTAAAATCCAAGGAAACAAGCGTAACCCACTTCTTCAAGGCACACTTCCTATTAGAATCCAGGGCCTTAGACCTTAAGTGAGCATCTCGGGCTGACAATGGCTTCAGTCCCGCTGCAAGGAATGCTGACTGCGAGGCTCCAAGATCTGGGCCGGAGCTGGAAGAAGCGGCCATCGGCCCTGGACCCGGCGCTGGGGGCAAGAGCCCTGTCGGCCTAGGCAAGAGGCAGCTTCTCCTGAAGAGCGAATGCATTTGTTCTGGAGGGCTCGGGAAGATGCCTACCGATCTCTTATAAGCATTCCAAGTATGAGCTGCATGAAAGGCCACTGCCCGACTGTCGAACGGGGCAGATTCATCACCTTCGCCCATCTTTCAGCTCTGCTGCCATCTGCCGCTGTCGGCGACAGCGGCGTGCACGGTGGGCTAAGCCCAACGTCGAGAGAGGGGCCCTGGTTCAATGCAGGGTCCTGAACCTCAAAAGGCCCCAACCAAAAATTTGTTTTCCTCGTTCACACTGATTGAGGAAACTGGCAGCGGCATGAGACCATGAAACAATTCCCACCGGAGTACATGGCAAAGAAAGGACATGAAAACTAGAGTGGCAAACATGGCAATCGACCCATCAAGAATCGGTTACAGAACATGTCCTCTTTTTTTTTTTTTTGAAACCGCCTTCCCATGGAAGGCTGTCCGACGTTTCATAAAGGTATATCGTGCGCGCTCGACAGGGTTCTCGGGATCTAAACCAAAGCGGCTGTGCGGATTGACACTGGAATCGTGCTGCCGCCTCTTTTTCGAGGTCCCAGAAGGCCGGGTAGGGCCTAAACCCAAACTAGGGGGGGCCCCGAGCTCAACCATACTAGCGGGCGTAGCGTCCTCCTCACACCCCTTGGGCAACACATGGGCGCGAAGAACGCGGCTGCCGGCAGGAAATTTTTGCAGCGCTGGAGTGCAAGCAACTTGGGTGCCGGGGCACCAATCCGAGGCAAGCTTGTGGCCGGGACGAAGAAAAGAATTTGCGAGCCTGGAGGGCAAAACAACAGAATGCACAGAAGCAAATTCGCTGAGCAGCGGGGGCACCCGCTTGCGAGATTGGATACCTGTGAATGCTCGCGAAGCTTGCACTGCATTGGTTGTACCAGTAATGTCAGACGGGGGCGCAGCACACCCGAGAGTCAGGAAGTGCTCCTTGAGCAAACTGGCCATAAGCTTGCAGAGGCCCCACGGATAGGCAGTCTCACTTGCTGTGGCCCATTTGGGCCCGACCTTCCCCCAGCCCAAATGGACATGCTTTCCAGAACAAGTTCGCTGGAGCTCACGGAATTTGGGAACATTGTGCACAAGAAGTGTTTCTTTACGACGCATGCCACCATACTCACAGTGATGAAAAATAGTTTGGAAAATATCCCGTCGCTGAAGAAAGTGCTTCCAGTCTGGCAGGAGCCAGAGGTAACTCCGAGCGGGATTCTCACAAGAAAAATGTTTTCCATGCTCAATGCAAAAGATGCACAACTCGAGGGTAAGGCGGTACAACTCGTTTGCCTTGGTCACCCTGATGGCGTCGAGGCCTTCAAGACCATCCACACCTTCCGGGCACAACTCGCTTCGGAGAACAGGCGGTGCACCTTCAAACCTTATGTCACGGGCTCTGCTTGCGGTACCGCAAGGAGGAGCAAAATGAACGAATTTGACAGCAGGATCTTTGAGGATGCTCCAGAGGTGCCGACGGCATCAGGACATGTAAGATCAAGCTTCAGAACAGAACAACATGCAGTCTTTGAGACGATATGGTCAACGCCAAATGCGTCGAAACCCTCACGCTTCAAAGAAGAACTAAGTCTCCCGCTCCCGCAAAACACTTCCACAACCACTACCTCCTCAAGTGAGAGGCCCTCTAACTTATGGAGATGGGCCTCATCAAGGGCGGACCTGTCCGCGGCGGCAGAAGTTTTGCAGCCTACGCTGGGTGACAGCAGTCACGAGTGATTCTGCATGCTATGGGGCTTGAGACAGCCCGGCTCAGCACACAGGTGGAGGCCCTTTGCACACTTACCTCCGGGTTTGGCATCCTGGCAACCGCACGGCAAGTTGAAACCCCAACACAAGCGATGACCCTTAGGAGTCTGGTGGGTCTTGCCAATCAACTCTTTTGGCACAGAAAAGTTTGTGCGCTTGGTCGGCCGTTTGGGTTGACGCGGATTCGGAGCGAATGGCCGCTTGGGTGGCGGCGGCGTGCCAGTCGTATGATTATCGGCCTTACCGCCACTGGACGAGCTACCTGCATGCAAAGGCAACAGATGATAAGCGACGCTTGGGTCTAGCAAAATGTTTGGCAGCATCGAATCAAGCGGCAAAACACCACTGCCACTCCTGCGAAGTGTTGTCAAAGTCTCTGCCATCTTTAGGAAGGCGGCACGGTCAGCTCGGATAACCTGGGCGAGGGAGACTTTTGCATAGTCAGGAGGCGGAGATTCCCGAAGCCGCTGTACCAGTGCTTGATGGTACCGATTGGCAACATCAAACGTCAGAATGCCAACGAGATCAAAGGCCAAGGCTCTGCGCCTGAGGGCTAACACCAGGTCAAGATCGCTGTTGATTGCGCATTGAATGGATTGAACCTTTTCCTTGACGGCAACACCTGTGCCGTCAATGACAAGCTCTTTCTGATTCTTCTTAGAGCTGATCTCTGCTCGACGGGTTCCGAACTTTTCGGGAGCCAGCCACACCAGCTCGTTTTTCTGGGCCATGGCGAAGACAATGTCGTACGCCCCATGGGCAACCTCCTCTTCGGCCTGAAAGGTCAATCCCCCGAGACGGGCTTTTTGGCTAGCCAGCCTGTCTTCACCCTCGGCGACATCCAGAGATGCTGGCAGATTGTCATCCGTTCGCTCCACCCTTTGCTTAAGAGCAGAAACAATCAAGGTATGAGCTTCGAAGAGAAGTCGTTTTAGGCCTGCAATAGCCCCTTGACTGGTCCCGGCTGGGAGCAGGGCTGTGACAGCGTCATCCTCCGGCACCTTTCCAGGAGGGACTAGCACAAACGCGAGCTTGGATAGCGTATCCACATGCTTCGCGACCAAGTGGTCAACCTCTGGCTGGGCCAACCCCACTTCTAAGGCCCTTTTTACAAAAGCCGGCTTCGACTCAGTGAAAGAGGTCGCAGCAGGGACGCCAGCCATGGCTAGTTCAACCTGATACAAAGCGGGCTCGAGAGAAAACCTTATCACAAGAAGCACTTCGCTCACCAAATCACCCATGAAGCACTTGCCCACGGCAGGACGCAGCACTTGTACATTGTTCACGCCCCTTCGCAGGCCGCTCAAAACCGCTCAAGTTGCACCTCGCAACCCGAGACTTGCAGGCGTAGCCGGAACCTCCCAGCATGCTCTCTGGTCGAAAATAGAACCACCGCTCAAGCTGCACCTCGCAACTTGAAACTTGCAGGCGTGGCCGGAACATCCCGGCAACCACTCTTCGTGGAACTACCTGCTTAGTCCCACCTCGGACCGTGGCATAGAAATCAGCGCTTCAAGCTTTTAGCCAAAGCTGCGTTCAGAGCCCCCACATCACGCAGAGGTCGGCTCTTTTTGCAGTTTGTGCATAGCCGAGTTTCTGCGAAGGCACTCCGCGTGATCCTGGAATAGTCAGGCGTTCTGAAAACAATCCTCTTTCACGCAAACTCTGAGCCTGTAAACGTCGGTCGTAACATGGTTATTCCATGCACTCAAAGCTACATGTCCAAAAGCTACCAAACTGTTCAATCAAAATAAGGGTACGAGTACAAACACAAAATTTGATCACCCCGCCCAAATGCGTGTTGCACCTGAGCACTCGTATTTGCATCAACAACAGTACGAGTACGTTTTGCAGTAGCGGACCTAAGTAGCTAAAGGTTTTATGGCGTGTTGCCATCTTGCTAGGCTCAACTGTACACTACGCGACCACTCCATCCACAAGCTAGGGTCAGCTTGAGACGAAATGTTTCTTGACAGACGCAAGAGGACGCCATTCATGCGGGCTCATGCGCATGCTGCGCCCCACATGTGCTTTCTCTTCAAGATAGCACTCTGAAGATTGTCACGGCCTAGTTACCGTGAGGAAGCTCACACTCCCCTGCGGGTTCAGGCTGCTCCACAGCCATCGAAGTTGATTCGGAATAATCAAGATTGACAGCAAAATGCTGTGTTGCACGTGATGCACAAATGCATCGCTGCGGCATTCAAGAACACTGGCCCCCACATCCGTTCAAGCTCAAGTAGTCTATCTACAATCATCCGTCAACGAAGTGTTCCCGAAGGCTCACGCCGCTGACTATGTACAAAGATGACCAATGCATCTGCATCATGAGCATATCTCAAGCGGGTTGCCAGCATCACAAGAAAGTGCTGATTCGTTCATTTCTGTTTGCGATTGCCTCCGAAGCATCGCCCACATGGCTGGTAGCCACGTTCCTTGGCCTCTGCTAAGCCAAGTCGCAGGATCTCATCAGCGTTGTTCAAGCATGTGCATCCGCGCTTCGCATGGTAAGCTTTGCCTCGCCTTGCAGTGCAATAAACATGCAACTCTGGCGTATGCACTGGCACATCGCCCACACGTCCACTGTGGGATGCAACTTGCAACGGTACACCTGATGATGACGCTGATGCACCCTCACGTGCATGGTGCTCTGCCCACATCATGCGGTCATAGTCCATTTCATTGATGACTCCTTGCAAGCGATCGGTCTCATGCCTTTCTGTCACAAACAAGAATCTCAACTTGCGTAGCTGCATCATGAGCATCAAGCACACAAGCGAAGGCACACCGCAAAGGGTTGCGGTGATCACACTCCAACGCCCATACTCTGGCACAGACGTGCTCGGCTCGGCACTGGTGGTCCTATACGCGCTTGCATCGTCCCTGCGGCGATCGGCCCGCAGCCGCTCAAGGCTCAGCATGACACTCAACAGAGACACGAGGATGACCAAACCGGTCACCCAAACGCTGAACCATCTTGCCTCTGGCTCTGTCTGAACACTCACATCACGCCTCGTGCCACTTGCATCTGCACCTGCAATCAAGCTCACCATCATCAAAACAAGATTGCTGTTGCTCAAACCATTGGTCTTCAGCGACTTGTTGATCAATCGCCGGACACGGGCTGTGTCCTTGCAGTGTTGCAACGACTCGACCAACTGATCATAGTCGGCACGGCCTACCTCTTGGATGCAATCACCGGCACAGTCAACGAAGTCATGCATGCAAAGCAATGCTCTCAAGCGACTCCCAGTTGCCGGGACCTTGGTTCCAAGATCTGACGGGTTCCATCGCCCGTCGACTGAGCCAACTTTCAGTGTACCATCCGCGGTCTTCTCCTGCACCCAGAGGAACCTTCCATCAAGATGCCTGATCTTTGATACGCCCTGCTTCAAAGATATCTGGCGACAGCTTGCATTATCAGTCCTCATCAAAAGATCTACCGGTAGTTCAAGCAGGTATTCAAGAACTCTTTTCAAGTAGATGCCGTCGCAGGCCGCGGACACCAAGGCGTAAAATTCGCTTTCAGTGGAACTGAGGCCCACGCAGCGTTGGCTCTTACACGAAGTATAGACGCAGCAGCTGTTCAAAAAGAACGAGCTGCTGCTCATGCTGCGGCGATTCTGCTTGTTGCCGCTCCAGTCTGCATCACAGAACACCTCCAGCAGCACTCCATCATGCGCTCCACCAGGATCGGAAGGCTCAAGAATGCTAAGCTTGTCACCTCGGGCATGCACCTTGCTTGCGTAACCTGTGGTGCACGCCAAGTACGATGCCAACCTCTGACCCGAACTCCAAGTTTGCATTGTCGGCTCTCGGAGCTTCTGAGACAGAATCCTCACTGTGAAGGCAACGTCGGGTCGATCCTGGGACACATACATTGCAATCCCGATTGCGCTGCGAAAGCGCGCAGCCTTCGCACTGTCCAGCAGCTTGCTGGTGTCGGGCACCAAGATGTCCTTTGTGCACGGTGTCGGCACTTTTGTGCAGTGGCACTTCAAGAAGATTGCACATGTTCACTGCATGATCAGACAATGGCTTGATCAAGATACCATCTTCAAGAAGAACGTGCTCCCTTTTAAGAAACTTAAAGGAATCCCCGGGCTTGCATGCAACCTCATACGACAGCTCAAAAGTGCTTTCAAGACTGGGAACCAGTTGCTGCAAGATCCACCTCACATACCCAACAAGGCAGAGGTCGTCGACGTGGATCACACCCGGATTGGAGCGATCTTTCGCATCCTTCAGCTTGTACAAGGAAGGGCACTCAGCACACACAGACAACTGGTGCTTCTCGCGGATGTATTCCATGATGAACGAATGCCACCTGGCCGTTCCGTCTCTCTGCCCTGGCAGCATCTTGAGGAACCGCATCCTTTTAGGAAAACCCGGAATCTTGGCCAGCATGGGACGCTCCTGTGGGACACAAAGAAAAGCATCTTTTATGTCAAGAGCCACGACGCCTATGGGATCATCGTCTGTGGCTGCACCTTCCTGACGCCTGTTCATCTCGCAAAACAGCCATGGCAGAAGTTTCGTGGTGAGCGACGACGTCGCCGGGGCATACAAACCTTCCCGGTCACGCTCCATCCACTTGTATTCCCTTGCAACCAAGCGTGATCTACGAAAGAACATCATGCGCCCATGCCGTTTCTTTTGCCTCCACGTTCTCACGAACTTCGTGGAGAGCTCCTTGTAACCACTGAGATCAAAGCTGTCTCCGACTTCCTCCAAGACTTGTTTTCCAAGAAGTCGCTTCACCTCAAAAGTGTCTGCCACGTAATCCAAGGCTGACAACTCCTCGTCACTGAGGCCTGGGATCTCCTCGAACCATAGAAGGTCTTCATCTTCAAGAAGCTTTGCCTCTTCAGCGGTAAGGCTTGGATCAAGCTCTGCATCGGCATCTTCTCCAAGCTGCACATACTGTGCTGCATCTTCCCATTCTGCGGCGGACTCCAAAACTTCATCATTGATTGGGAAGTCCTCACGGCCTACTCGGGCGATCCGCTGAAACTTTGCTGCATGGGACTCATCTGGCTCTGCCTCAGCCTGTCGACCTGTGCTGGCACCTGCTCGAACACTTTCTACCACCTCAGCAAGCATGGTGCTGTCATCAAACACAGGCTGAGTGGGCAAGGCTTCTGGAGAGGAAGACGCAGATGAATCAGAGGATGTCGGTGGGTCGGTCCCCATGACTTCCATTGGTGACTCATTCACCGCAGCATGCGCAGGAGGAGGAGGTCTCACACTCGCTGGCACACTGCCTGGGACACTCGCACTCCCTCTGTCGTGACGATCAAGAAGCAATGTGGCTCTGGAGGATGGTGCAGGGTTCGGTGGCTGGCTGCTAAGCGGAGGCATCCCCGCCATCCCCGCCACACTCGGCATTCCTGATGCAACTGCCTGCGCCTCATCACCTCTGGCACCTGACACATCAACTTGCGCACTCTGCTGCTGTTCAAACACCTCATCAGCGTCCTCGGCCGGCTTTGGAACACGATTCCGTGGCTGTGGGAAAATTTTCGCTCCAAGAACTCCCAACTGGTAATTCCAAGGGAAACCCTTTCCTTCCAAAATCAAGTTCACTTCATCCGACCAAGGCTTGGCATTGCGTCTGATGGATCGTGTCAGCCAGACGCCCTGGGCATTCATCAAGATGTACATATTGTTTGTTGTAGTTTTCGACAAGAATACTGCCCTATGCCATTTTCGATCCCCTTTAGATTTTCCACGCCTAAAACCCCAAACCGGTTCTCCGAAGCAGGCGAGCTTGGATGCAAAACGGTAACCAGTGGCACGCTCGAATGCCGTTGCTCCGCCTTTCACTCCGAACCTGTTCAAGATGTAACTTGCGTGAACATAGCTCCATGCCATCAAAGGGTGATCTGCACTGATGGTTTCAGCACTCAAGTTGTACTTGACTCTCACCTGATCAAGCAAGACATTGGAGAGACCTCTCACCAAGTCTATGGCCTTCTCCACATAGCCTTTTGATGCATGCGAGTGCACCGGCGCATCACGGATCATGGTTTTGAACCCGAGCTTGGTCCGAACATTGACCACAAGACTTTGAAGAGCCAACGTGGAGGGCTCATTGTCACAGCAAAGGAAAATGCTGTTGTGGCCTAAGCCTTGCACGAACCTTGTAAGCTCGATTGCACTGAACTTCAGATCCTCGCGCCCCTTGCTTGCAACAGGAAGCCCTAGCACACTGCCGGTGCTGGTGTCATGTGCAACCAGAACGGTCAACTTAGCTGCATTGCCCTGGCCCTCGGCACCTGACACACTGGTGAAGGCATAATCGAAGCTAATGATCGGGACCTCAGTGTCGGCACTCCCCGGCAGTGATTCATGCCGGTCCTCAACACCACGCATGGCCATGCAGTGATCGCACCATGGCCGGAATGGCCAATGGGTCAGCTCATGCAACTGCCTCTCGGCTTCTGTTGGGGCCTTGGTGACGGACTGCCCTTTCGGCTCACGCGTACTGTCATCTCCGACTGTCTGAGCAACTTCGGCACTCAGGGCCAATTGCTGCTTGTCAAGGTAACCCCTCAAGCGATCAAGGCAACGCTGCTTGCTCCCTGAAACGGATATCCCAGCCGACTTGCATGCCGTACGAATCACACTCAATGTGCTCTGCAGGGAAAGCTCAACGCCTTCAAACACAAGAATGTCACTGTTGCTTCCTGGCACTGGCGCCTCGCCTGTGACGCCCTCGGCATCTGGCAACACCTCCACATCCCTGTGGACCTGAGGCACACCTGGCATCGCCTCCACCAACTGTGGAGCAGAAGTGTCCTGCATGTCGGCTTCGGAAGGCTCGTAATCTGCAAGCTCATCAGCATCTGGGTCTCCAGGTTGCGGGCCAGACCAATCAATGTGCCCTTGCGTTGATCTGTGAGGTTCCACTCCAAACTCGGACAACTCTTCACGTGACGAAGAGAGGATGCATACTACATCACTTTCTCCGTGCGGTAAAATGGCCGCAAGCTCTCGCAACTCACCCCAGTGCACGCAATGCTCAAGCAAAATCCAGGCATTATGATCAGGTGTGCACGGCTTGACCAAAGTGGTTCTGCAGGGCCACCCCACTGGCGCAATGATCGACGGATCAATGTAGTGAGTGCTCCTGCCACGAAAGTACAAGTTTCCCGTGCCTGACATTTGCCATCCAAAATTCGCATCGGCCATTTCATTGCAAACTGATGCTTGGACAAACATCACATGCCCTGCTGGACTCAAGGATTCTTGGCCAACCCTGAAAATGCTTGCTCGAACGCACAAGGAATTTCCTTTGAAAGAAATCGGAACCCTCACACCGCTGTCATGCTCAAGAGCCATGTCTGGCTGTCTGACGGGCCACCAACCTGCTTTCATGAGCTTGCCCTTGCACAAGAGAGGCTGAGTAACTGGGGCGATCGCACAAACTTCTCGCCACACCACATGTTCCCCTGTGCTGCTCTCAACGACAAACTCAACTTCACGAAGGTCGTTCACAGCAAGCGGCTCGCCTTGCGCATCACGCAGTTGCAAATTGTGAGGACCGTGGTCGAAACCATGTTGTGCATACTCAAGAGGCAAGCAACTCATGTCTGCACCTGAATCCAAAATCACATCCAGGGCATCGTCAGCTGAGGGCAACTCTTGGATTGTCTGAACAGCATACACAAAGCCTTTGTTGGGCTCCAAGCGCTTGAGAGTGCTGAGCTCATGCACAGAAACTCCGTGCTCCCACGATCCTGAATCATCATCGGCCGAAATGTCAAATTGGGACACCTGTGGCACTGTGCTCTGATCTGCTGCTGGCGCAGCCTGGGACACCTGTGGCACTGTGCTCTGATCAAAATAAAATGGACCTGCTGGGACTGAACTGCCTCGGGATTCCGAGCTGACTGCATCGCTACTCTCAAGAACGCGCACTGGCTCTGCACTGTTCAAACATGAACCTTCCAGCATTCGGACAATCTCAAGAAATTCTGGTGACAAAATGTCGCTGCTGCACGCCTGGCCGATCGCAACCTGGCCACTGGGACCTGCTGGGCTCTGAACTGCCTTGGGATTCCGAGCTGACTGCATCGCACATGTGACAGCACGAACATGCCCTCCAATGAACCAGTCAGCGGGCGCACTCAAGTCAAACACCTGAACTCGCCGCACTGTTCCACTCGTGCTGGCCGCTCCACCTGATGTCGTGATGGTGGGTGCCTCGCTCGCTGCACTTGAAGGGTTTACCTCTGCAACCTGATGCACGCCTTTGCCTTTGCCTTTGCCATGCAGCAGCCAACAATCCTTGGCAAGATGTCCAACCTTATGGCAGTGATGGCACTTTCGCGTCTCCTTTTGTGCTTTGCCTCCCTTTCCTTTGCCGCCTTTCGGCTGGTTGGCATTCTGAGACTTGCCTCCACCGCCACCGGGATTCGGTTTCCCGCCATTGGGCTTGCCGCCCTTTCCACCTTTGTCTTTTCCACCCTTTCCACGACCATCGCCCTTGCCGCCTTTAGGTTTCCCCTTAGCGACCCTATCTACATCCATGGGTACGGGATCACTGGCACTATGGTCACCCGAGGGGCCTATTCCTAAGCTTTGCTGCACTTTGGACGCCGACCAATTGCTGGTCGTCACTTCATATGTCAGAATGAACTGCTTGACCTGCTCATAGCTGGTGTCACTTTTCATCTGAAGCTGAATGTGGTTTCTCAAGTGCGCCGGCAAAACCCGAAGTAAAGTCCCGAGGAGAATATCTGGATTCACAGCCACTCCTGAGACCCTTTCATACTCCTGGGCAAGGCGATCCAAACCGTCAACCTGCTCCCTGGTCGTTTTGCTTTTCACAAACGGGGGAAATGACATGATGGCATTCAGCAGTGCAAGTCCTCGCACTTTCGATCGCGGTGCGTAGATGTTGACCAGCTGCCGCCAAGTCTCATAGCCGTTGCGGTTCGGCACTTGTCGCAACAACATCTTCGGCTTGTGCTGCAGCAGACTGCTAAGTATCGCATACAAGCGGCGCGACCGCTCTGCAGTTTCAGCTGGCATGGTGGGGTTCTCTACATCAAGATTTGACTCGACTGTCTGAAGCTCAATCTCATACTGAGGGTCGGCGAAGATAAGCCAAGCCTTAAAGGCATGTGCCCAATCAAGCCACGACCCCAAGTCACTGTCATGCGAAGTGCTTCCAAAGCATGCGGGCCTATTCAAGATGCGGTTTGCATCACTAAAGCCCTGTGTCCCTGAACTCCTGCTCGGGGACGCTGCACTCGCTACACCTGCCGCTGCAAGAACAGCCTGACTTTGGCCTTGCATTGTCTGCAGGATCTGCTGAAACTGAGCAACATCAAGTACTACCTGATTTGGCACTGAACCACCTGCCGATGGCGAAAACGGATTCGTGCTCATCTGAGGAAGCTGCGGTCCAACTGATGGTCCTCCACTCCCTGAGGCTGGAGGCCCTGTCGGTCCCTCACCACCAAGATCATCATCATCTAAATCAGCCATTGTTTCAACAATCAGTCAAGGTCAATCACACTGCGGCTTCCACTCTGCAATGAATTTGCACTTGGTTGATTGGGCTCTAAATCAATAACAGCAGAAGAAGATAATTGCAGGCACTGGAACACTCCACGCTCAGGCTCACGCAATTCAATCGGCTCTGCTGGCGAATCTTTCAACTCCTGAAAACCTCGAGAGGAACTTGTCTGCTCAAACAGCTCTAGGTCCCTGTCAAACGCAGAATGCTCTTCAGTCGGGTGCACGCAACTTTCAACAACACCGTCTGGTATGGCAAACTCTGCGGTGTCTGCTGCACAAAACCCAATGTAAGCTTCTCGAAGATCGCGATCCTTTAAGCACTTAAGGGCAAAACAATGCAGTTCAGAAATTGTGTGAAGTCGCTCAAGCTTAGTATCTAAAGCCTCCTGAAACCCGTGAAGAATCTTGCACCAACCTGCGCGCGTGCGGCCTTCTGGGCAGGGCCGCTGCAACAGTTGTTCAAGATAGAGCTGTCTGATCCGCTCTCGCAATGCTTCAGCAGAAGCTTCACTCGCCGCCGTGATTGCCACTCGGCTTGTTCAAGCAGGATATGGCTCGTCCGGTCAAGAGCCGGGATTGCGATCCTACCTAACTTCACCGAAGACGAAAAGTCAAAGAGGATTTCAAAGCCTGGGCCCCTGGACACCTAAAGTGACGGAAACCCACAAGCGTGTTTCCGAAGCACTGGTCAGCCAGTGCTCCGCTACCATGAAAACAATCCTCTTTCACGCAAACTCTGAGCCTGTAAACGTCGGTCGTAACATGGTTATTCCATGCACTCAAAGCTACATGTCCAAAAGCTACCAAACTGTTCAATCAAAATAAGGGTACGAGTACAAACACAAAATTTGATCACGTTCGCTTACGCCCACAGGTGAACGTCTCACCCGCAGAACCAACAGCAACCGTATGAATGGTCATTGTTTTATCATGTCTCCAATACACAAAATCAAGCTCAGCAAGATTGGACTTCTCAACTGTACAGTCAAACGTGTCTTTCAAACTGTCTACCCAGTCAGAGCCTTCTGGGCCTTCAGAACTTTCGGACTCACTAGATGAGGACGATGACGAATGCTCCTCACCGTCACCTGCCTGCGAGGGCTCCGGGCCGTCGTCCTGAAAGGCATCATCAAGGACTGATTCAGCCGCTTCCTCAGGAGTCAGCGCCGCCGCACGGTAGTGCTTGTCTTCCGCTTCAGACTCCAACACTCCAAAGATTCCAGGCTCACCAATTCCAGGTTGCATGGGCTCAACATGCTGCCACGACTGGTCACTGTTCGGCTCGCCCAAGGAGCTTTCTGCAGGAAGGGGGTCCTTCCTGATAAGACCCGATCTTGTGGCATCAGGAATGAACAAGCTGTCTCTGATTGCTCTGAGCATACGTTCATAGATTCTTAAGGGAGCAGCAAGCTTGTCTCGCATGTATGCATACATGGCTGAACCTTTGAGCGCATGATGGCCCAGCAGTGTCTGGGCAGTTTCATTGACACCAAACTTACCGCACCAATCAAGCGTGGTCGTTTTGAGTGAATGACCGGTCACACCATCAGTGCACTTATTCCCTCGGCTAAGCAAAGCCCGAAGCCAGCCACCGGCCTCGACAGTCGTTACTGCTCGCTCACTCCAGCCGCCTGCCTCAAGAGGGGCTGGCAGCAACGGTCCATTCTTGTCAGGACTTAACGGCAAGCCTGCAGCCTCGGCGATTGCCACGAATTTCGGCCCCCAAGGCTCATGCCGCACACCGCATATGGGAGCCACTAGAGGCATTGACACTCCTTGCACTGCCGCCTGGTTGGATGTCTTATGTGCCCTGGTGGCGCACTCAAGGTATCCCTGAACATCGGACCCTGCAACGACAGTATCAATGAAGTTGCGAACCTTCTTCACATCACTGATGCGGCTTCTGCTGAAAGTGCAAAACAAGAAAGCCCCGCTCGCATATCGGTCCTGCAGGTCCAATTCAGCATCATCAAGGCAAAATTCAAGAAAAGCTACCTGGTCCACAGTCAAGCCCAGGGCTGAAACACGCTCCGGCTTCTGCGATTGCATAAGGCCCCTGAGTCCAACAGACCACGGGCTGAAGAGCTTGGATGCTTCTCCTGCACAACTAATGCCAACCACATGAATGGAGAACCTTACTGCCTCCGTGAAGGAATCAATCGTGCCAGCCTTTGCCTTGATAGACCGCAAGTGCCTTATATACTCGTCAGACTTCTCGGTGCTGAAAGGAAAGGGCGAGGCAAAGGGCCTGTGCTCCTGCAAGTACTTTGCATACTTGAGCATTGAAGCAGCACGCTTCTTCACCGTTGCTTCTTTCTTCCTTCCAAAGAGTTCTCGCAGTGCCTGCATACCTTCTGCCTGGCTCATCCCGGCAAGAGACGAACCGACCAAGGAGACAGAGGAATCAAGAGTCAACAAGAAATGCCACTTTTCAAGGGACCTTTGCCATGCAGCCACTTCAAGCTCGGCATCTGACGCTTGATTCTTGAAGTTAACACAGCCTACGAAACAAGGTCTGCCGAAAGTAGCTACTTTGACTTTCTTAGCCGCACGGGCTTGCTCTTCAATCGACGCCTCAGCCGTCGAAGGCACAGGAAATTCGATTTTTGGAGGCTCCGAAGGCAACATCTGTTCCAAAGCACCTTTCCCGAAAATCAAATCCAACCCTGGCATCTCCCAAGGCAGTTTCAAAACCTGAGGTTCACTAGAAGAGAAAATAGCTTCGCGGATTGTCTCTTCTAAGCGCGACAAGTCTGGCTCAGCAGCTGAACCCACACCCCCTGCGCCGGATGAAGCGGAAGAGCCGGACATGTAGGCCCAGTACTAAAGCCTCGTCAAGAGGCTGCAAACGCTCAGCAGGAAGGAGCCAGCAGAGCTGAAGCACAAGATGCTGGACCGGCACCGCAGCAACTTCCCTCTGAAGTTGCCCCAAGGCACGAAGGGTGCCTTTGCCTGGCCAACGTCCATCTGCCAGCCGACGAGGCTGGCGTGCACTGTGCTCTAAGAGCAACGTCAGTGGAGACCTGCTCCGAACCTCTGTGGACTCCAGGCTCAACAGTTTTGAAAATCACGTGCCCTACCTCAGAGCACGAACCTTGCGGCATCACATCGACTTGCTTCAAACAATCATGTGTGATGCTTTCAAGTGGCAAGGTAAAACTTAAATCGAGCAGGATTTTGAAGCGAAGCTACAAAATCCAAAAACCATTTCCGTGAAAATAATACCGTACGCAGGCCGGCTGCGAAGGTGGCTTCTTGTAGCTCTCCTCGGGGGGTTGTCCGAGGGCAGCATGTCGAGGAGTCTCAAGAGCTGTTGCTTTGTCGGAACATGCCATGAAGAAGCCAATGCCTCCGGATCGGAGGAAGAAGCAGAGCTTGAAGAAGACGAGGAAGCATTCTCTGAAGTATCCTTCCCGGCCCGCAAAGAAGAGTCCCCCTGTCCCGAGGCCGAGAAGGGTGTCACAGCATGCCAAGCCAACTTAGCAACAGCGCGGCACAAAACTGCAGGATAAACCAAACAAACAAGAGCAGCTCCATGATCGTGACCACACGTTCGAGGAAGTGGGCCGCGATAGCTACCTTCGTGATCCAAGATGGGCCAGCCTTGCAGGCCCAATGAACCCAGGTTGGGCGAAGTACCTGCGAGGCGAGTCGGTCTCCGCGTCGGTGCCCCATAAGAACATTGCGTCAACGCCACAGAAGAGGCCTGAACCCGCATGAAGAACTTCTTAGTTTCGGTCCAGGTCCAGACTGAGGCCGGAACGCCTCGCCAGCGTCGGGCGGGATGACTTGCTGCGTGTATTGGAGGCAGCTTTGTAGGTACGCACGGCAACAAATGGCGCGCTCAGGCAATGACTGGCGGAGGGGCTGGAAAAGCTTCCGTTTACGGGCAATGGACGACGCCGCTTTTTGGCCCGTGAGGAGAATCTGCGCTTTTGGAAGGGTGCATGGGCCAGCCGTGCTACCAACGTATGTTGGCGCACCCCACAGCATAAAGCCCAAGACCGGCGCCGATTCCGTGCACAGCTTGGGACCCCAGGGCGTGGCATCAAGCTGGTAGATTTGCTCCGGGCCAGGCGCCCTCCCAAACAACAAAGAGGATTTGCACTTACAGTGGCAAGGCGCGCGTAAGAAGGAACTGACAGTCCCACAGCTGGCAAAGTGGCCTGCGAGGTAAGCCTGGAGGGCGTGTTGCGTAGCCAGAAGGAGGGTTTCGCCTGATTTACAACAAAACCACTGTACACTCGGGACGTCAATAGGGCACAACCGGTGAACTCGGCGACAGACTTCAGTAAGGCTGGCTGCCGCCAACGGAAGGTCCTCTGTTTGACGAAAAAGGTCATGAAACTCCGGCGGAACAGGCGAGACGATGCCTTCCGCCCTGGCATGGCGCACTTGCTCAGCCAGGGCCATCGGGACTCTGACCGCAGAAAAGCACTGGTGCTTGAGGACATGGAATCCAGCACTATAAAGAGAGGAGAACTTGGTTTGCGCGTCGCCTACCCATG